AGGGCCCGGGGTGCTACCTGGTTTATAGCAAGGTTGGGCAGTCAAAAGTGAAAATTGAGTTAAAACGTTAAGTTAATTAACTAGTTGTCAACGTTTTTAAATATATTATTTTCGAGTCGAGATCAATAAATAATAATTATGCAAATAACAATAATTTTGTAATTAATACACAATATATTAGTTTTTATCTATAAACATAAATACAAAGTTCTTTGTAAATAAATCTTGTTTTTTTTTCTGATAATATTTTCCATATTCTGTGAACTCATAATAATATCATAACAAACCGAAAACTCGTAATAAACAAAATATTTTTTCTGTATAATATGAAAATTCAAAATTAACATAATTGGGAAAATAAAAAATAATATGAATTGACTTTGTTATAATATATAATATATGTTAAACGAGCTTGCATGTACGAGTCGTACCTGACATGATAATACATACATTTCTTGATGTGACATTTCCTCCCCCCCCCCCCCCGGACAGCTCGAGGCATTTTTCGGGATATTGTTAATGAACCGCTCGCGATAACCATCATATACCTACCACGGTATCATTCGCATTCGACCCGTTTCCTGCAGTGATGTTTTCGTATAACTGCAGGGGCGGACTGGCCACTTTTGAACCAGGGTGAAAAATCAATTAGGGACCCCCTAAATTTTTTTTAAAACTTACTAAAATTAGGAAAGAGTTCTGCGTTACGATAGTAGTTAAATTTAAGAGAGGTCCCGAAAATGATGATCGGGGCCCCGTCTTATAAAGAGGGCCCGGGGTGCTACCTGTTTTATAGCAAGGCTGGGCATTAACGAGTCAAAAGTTAAAATTGAGTTAAAACGTTAAGTTAATTAACTAGTTGTCAACGTTGTTAACGTTTTTTTATTTTCACGTCGAGATCAATAAATAATTATGCAAATAACAATAATTTTGTAATTAATACACAATATATTAGTTTTTATCTATAAACATAAATACAAAGTTCTTTGTAAATAAATCTTGTTTTTTTTTCTGATAATATTTTCCATATTCTGTGAACTCATAATAATATCATAACAAACCGAAAACTCGTAATAAACAAAATATTTTTTCTGTATAATATGAAAATTCAAAATTAACATAATTGGGAAAATAAAAAATAATATGAATTGACTTTGTTATAATATATAATATATGTTAAACGAGCTTGCATGTACGAGTCGTACCTGACATGATAATATATACATTTCTTGATGTGACATTCCCCCCACCCCCCGGACAGCTCGAGGCATTTTTCGGGATATTGTTAATGAAATCGAACCGTTCGCGAAAACCATCATATACCTACCACGGTATCATTCGCATTAGACCCGTTTTCTGCAGTGATGTTTTCGTATAACTACAGGGGCGGACTGGCCACTTTTGATCCAGGGTGCAAAATCAATTAGGGGCCCGTAAATTTCTTTTAAAACTTTCTAAAATGAAGAAAGTGTTCTACGTTACGATAATGGTTAAATTTAAGAGAGGGTCCAAAAATGGTAATATTATAAAAAGCGATAGAGATCATTTGGCGGTGGAGGGGGCACTTTTCCGGGGGAGAGTCTTAATTTACTATATTATATTATAGATGACATTTTCGATCTGGCGACGGGTTGCAGTGCCCCGACCGCCACTATATTCGGGCACACAATGTGACGGTATTGTTATTATTATTATTATTGTTGCTGTCGTCGTTATAAAGACTGGCCCGGAGGGGAGAGAAGAAAATATAGAAAAAAAGAATAAGAAATCCCGTCAAAAATGAACCTCTAATGTGTACAGCAGTCGTGATGTCTCGCGTCCATTACCCGAGGCCCCGCATGTGTTGCCCCAACAGCCGTCGCACGGGCTGCTTCTAATGAATTCCGTCCGAACGGTCAGCGCGTTGCAGGGGTGGGTGGTGGGTTTTTGGGTGGGTTAGGGGGGTGCACGTCATGTGTGTCGCTTAAATGACTCCGCTGGAGCAGGGGTGGTGGTGGTGGTGGTGGTGCTTAAAACCGTATTCAATTTTCACGTATTCACGGGGGCGTAAACGGGGTGGCCGCCCGGGGAGAGTATTAAGGAGGGGGTGGAAATTATTATAGCTTGGACACGCGCGAGGTCAACGTTTTTTGTGTTCGTCGTCGTCGTTGTATATTATATTATACCACCCTATGCGTGTACCTACCGCATTTTTACTACCATTGCAGTAGATACGGCATGAAACAGAGTGAAATTATTTATTCCTACGGGATTCGGGTTTTGACGGTTTCGGTTTCCGACGGAATACAATCATATCACGCCGAAACGCGTTTAAATCACCGAAAACGTCAAGTGCATTCGGGAAATAATTTCGAAGCGACAACACACAATGACCGCCTTAACATTATTTTTATTATAATTAACATTTTCAAAACGGATTCCGTTATTCGTTTTGTAACCTAGCGGCACGATAATATATTATTATATTATATGCCTACCTCGTCTGTAAAGAAAAACAACTATTTCTACTAAACCGACCCCGACGTAAGACGTATTATACAGGGTGATATTTTTATCATTGAACACTCATTATTTCAAAAAGTATTAATGTTTAAGAAAATATTTTTTTACATAGTTTCAAGTTGTTAAAAAACAATATTTTTATTAAAAAATTATATTTTTAAATATTTTTTATCCTTTTAATTTTTTAAGTTTTTTACTTTTTTGAATGACAACATGTAATTTTAATTTGATATTCAAAAACAGAATATTTTTCTGAGTATTTCGATACATAAAAATTGAATTTAGGGCAATTAGTTTATGAGTTATAAGTATTTAAAGTTTAGATGAGCGGAGTAGTGGACAAACATTTCGCGGGGTAACCCCGTACCACTCTACTCCGCTCATCTAAACTTTAAATACTTATAACTCATAAACTAATTGCCCTAAATTCAATTTTTATGTATCGAAATACTCAAAAAAATATTCTGTTTTTGAATATCAAATTAAAATTACATGTTGTCATTCAAAAAAGTAAAAAACTTAAAAAATTAAAAGGATAAAAAATATTTAAAAATATAATTTTTTAATAAAAATATTGTTTTTTAATAACTTGAAACTATGCAAAAAAAATATTTTCTTAAACATTAATACTTTTTGAAATAATGAGTGTTCAATGATAAAAGAATCACCCTGTATAGTGACGGAAATTTTCATAAACATTTATTTTTTTTTTTTTTGTATTGCTTTGTATAGAATTGTTTAAAAAATGTATATAATAATGTGATGTAATTTTAACATAAATAATATGTTTTTGGGCAGATATTTTTATTTTCTAACCGATTTAGCGTAACGCTTTGTTTATCACCATAGTAACGAATACAATGTAAAAATTACCTAATCCCCACAATCTATATATATATATAAATGGAGCCAAAAATGTATAACAATTCATCAATTGAGAACGGCTGGTCCGATTTGTTTCTGATTTTTTTTTAAGATGTTCGTAATTGCCAGGTGAAGGTTTTTACGAAAGAAAATTTTTTAAAAGTCAACCAAATAATTAGAAAAACTGCAAAAACTATTTATTGATCTCTGGGATTTGAACTCGATACTGTTGTCTTTATTTACTCTATGGTGTATTATATTATATTTTTTGCTATTGGTTAATCGGGCACGTTTGTTGATTTGTATCATTATTTTTTATCAATATATCTTATGTATAAATGAATTATGGTGTGTAGATGAGACCTATGGGAAGAAGATATACGCTAATTTAAAAAGGGTTAAATTTGGTTTTTTTATTCATCGGATTTTAGTACGGTTAGGTTAGGTTAGGATTTATATAGGTAGGTGGAATTAAGTAAAAACGTCAAACTTGGTATAACTTTGGTACTTTTTGAGTTAAATCATACACTTGCTTACAAACAGCACGGGGTCCGCCTACCTGATAATATACTGCTGCGAAACAGAATTTTTATTCCGGGCAACAGAAAAGTTAAGATAAATCTAGAACATCTCATACACTGAATATTAAATAACGCATTGAACAATGTTTGAGTCATACACAGTTGGTACATTTGACGGGAAACGAAGTGCACGGGATCAGCTAGTAGGTTATATTATTTTATACAATTAATGGTTACTTATTAATGCATATTTTATGATTCACATATTTTCTTTGAAGTGGAAAATATCGAGTAGCGTGCTAAGCGTTTATGTCGTACAATCACCACAATATTTGTACTTATAAAACGACGAATTGTATATGTGTATAGTGAATGTAAATTTTTTTTTAAGTTTGAAAACTATGAAAATTTTATAATTTTTCATATCAATTCCCCATCAAATAAATCACTCAAAATTATTTCCCTATGATGTATATATCTTAACCTACACATAGTTCAAATACACGTTTAAAACTGTGTAAGTCGTACGTGTATTACCATGCATCCATCTTAATATTATTCTGTTGAACACAATAATATAGGAAACACAAAATACTAATAATTAATCTATTGCGGTCATAAATGTGCGATTTCATCTATTATTAAAATCGTTCTATTTTTCCACCGGTGTAAAATATTATGTCAAGTGTATAAAGTGTGTTTTCCCGCATTAATTGATTTTTCAATTTTCTCTCGTTCATTGTTTGAGTAATTTCCATTTATTTTCCTAACCAACTTCTTTTCACGAGTACAAAAGTCTCACAACTGTTTACAATTGATAAATATATATTACTTAACACGTAGGTTAGCCTATATATAATTCTTGAACGTTAGTTCATGTTCACAGTCGTTAAATTCCCAATTAAATAATAAACATTTAGCCAGCATATTTTATCAACCGTACAACCTCAAAAATAATTAATTATGCTGAGGAAAAAAAATCGAATTTTCAAAGAAAGTTAATAATTTTCGGAAAATTTCGTTGAAATAAAAAATAAGTTTCAACGGAAAATTTTCGAGCCTGACGTCAGCTCGGACGAAAAATTATGTCTAATGTCGTCGTCGTTGTTGCAGACGTTAAGCCAATACCTGAAACAGCACGAGAACGCGTACTTGGACAGAGACTCGCAGGCCACCGAACCGTCGGAGATCTTCCACCAGGTGGAGCGTGTCCCGCCGCCGTCGCCGATGCCGCGCGAGAACAACAACAACGCCAACAACAACGGAACCAACGCCAACAACAACAACGGCGGCGGCGGCGGCGGCCACAAGCGGCCGTACCCGTTGGCCGCCGACGGTTACTACGAGGCCGGTTACGCGGCCGACATGGAGTACCAGCAGCAGCCGTGCGTCAAGCGGCCGAACCTCGGGTACGCCGTGCCGTTCATGTACCAGCACCCGCACGTCCACCCGCAGGAACCGCCGCCACTGCCTCCGTCGCACCCGTACAACATACTGCCACTGCTGCACATCCGCGAGGTGGAGGACCACAAGGGCCACGTGGAGGACGAGTGGAAGAACATTCACGTGGTAAGTGCGTTCCAGTGGCGAGCGAGGGGGTAGGGTTCTGACACCCCCCCCCTGGAATTTATTTTTTCTACAAAAAAAATCTTATATTTACCGCCATTTCGATACGCACAGATCGATTTTTGGTCATTTTCAATAGATGTAATTGTTGAACACGACAGACGCGTCGATATAAACATAGTCTCAGTTTTTTGGCTGATTCAGAACGTTGTCAAACGCCTGCCATCGATTATGATTTTGTATCATCGTCCATCGATTATTACCACGTTTGTTAAGGCCCGAAGAGGCTCTATAGATGACCGGCTTAAAATCTGTAAATTCGTAGACCAACTACTGTTTAGAAACAAATTATCTAAATTATTCACTTGGGTAAAACGTTTAAGAACTAAAATCCCGAGTTACTGAGTTACGATATGACGTCATTACATGTACACCGGCAGTGGTGTTCGTGGGGGGAGGGGGGCTAACATGGCTAACGGGTGGACCTCCCCCCCATTGCCCGTGTCGTCATTATTTTTTAAAATAATTATCAAATTTCAACTGCACACTTATATAGCCAACTAAAGAAGAGTCGTAAAATCGGACGAATACAATCAAGGGGAGGATATCCAAAACGTATACTATTGCCAAAATACCGATTTTCAGGAGAAGCGATTTTCTCTATCTCAACGTTTCCAATAAAAACAAACCATTTATAAACAGACAATAATAGTTTTTAAAAAAAGGTTTTTTTTGTTAATTATTCAATAATATATTATTTATATTTATAATTATTCAAATGCGGTGTTAAATATTCTTGAGATATATTTTTAACTTAATTTTAAACTTGATTAAAATTTTGGTATACGTTTTGGATTAACTTTTTTACTTCCCTAGCTATATATATAGGTATACCTACAACATTAAATTACGTTTTGGAAATAGTTCGTTTTTGTATATAGTTAATAATTGGTTTCTATTCTTTTAACTTGGGCACGAGTGCATTTCGGAGTAAAACTGGAATTTTGGTTTTCCAAATATCGTTTTTATGTAAAAGTTCGTTTTGGATTATCCGGTCATTTTGAGTCGCAGATTTGACCAGGAAATAGTACTTTTTGATCTATTCTGCCACCTCCAATCGATGTATCGATGTTTTTTCCATAAGAATTGATATCTAACTCGATTTTGTCAATTTTTGCAATGTAGGTACGTTTTGGATTTCCAACCCTCAATTTTCGGTTCCAATCAGCTTTCGTGATAATACAATACCATATTGTTAAGTTAACTTTTTAATATTACCTGGTTAGGTTTTTTAATTATACTCATAGATGATTTTTTCAAATTCTTAAATTTTTTTTGTACTGCTTAAGGGATGTGCTGTGGTGATACGAACTTCTGTTTTTAAAAAGAGAACTCCTCTTTTTACTGTAAATTATTCAGTGGTTGATTTTTCGGAAAATTTGAGGTCTCAGAATCAAAATTCGCACGAGTAGGATTTTTATTTGTTTAATTTTGTGTTAAGATAAAAAAATTTAAAAAAAAAGAATAAAAAAAAAACGTAAAACTACAGTTAACTACTTATCGTTCCTATGGTGATAAGCAAATCGTTAGAAATTAAAATCCCATTTTTAGCGGTTTTTCATAATTTGTCGGTAGTTTTTTTTTCGAAGCTTTATAAAACTACTTGGGATTTTCAATTCTGACCTCCCAAAAGTACCAACTAGGGTCACTTTTCTATCGGAAAAGATATACTGATCTCAAAAATCTCAAAAATTATTATCTGAAATGTTGCTGACAGACAGAAAAACACACACACACACACACATCATTGTAAAACCAATACATTCTTCAGCTTCTCTCAGAATCTAAAATCTCATATTATTCATTATCCATATAATATTAAATGTATAAGTACATTTATAACATAATTATGACTATGCAATCGAATTGAATTAATGTAATTTATTTTTAATTGTTTTTATCTATTAATTATATCTATTATTATGATATATGACACTATGACAGTCATTGAATTTTCAATCAAAAATTATTTTTATACCCCCCCCCCCTTATATTGTTCAGCCTGTTGATGTGCATAATATGACGTACGCGATAGTTGGTAATTTAGGGCAAAGACAATGCGCAAATGAAATACGGCCCTAGAAGAATATTTATAAACTTGTTTCGTCTTTTGTTCGCTGTTATTTCAGTGTCGGGACTATTGTGTGAAGAGTTCCAATGTAGTTACCTATACAGTGTTATTGTGAGAACTGACAGTTACGAACAACATATCTTGTCAACGAGTTTCGATAATGTACAAATTCGAAATCGAATTCCTACCTACGAGTGTCTTCGTGTCGACTGCCGAGTACAATAACATTATACAGGGTGGTTCGCCGAGCGCGTTCACCCCCATTTTTTCGAACTGTTCAAACCATCGCTTTTGGAATTTTTAAATATGGGTACCCCGTTTCTCGAATAATTTTTTTTTACTTCTCACTTGGGATGGCTTGCTTGGCAATATACATTTATGTTTTCCAAATGAGAACAGGTAACCAACTAGCATTTTCTGTGAATTATTCAGTGGATAATTTTCTTGATGTGGCCATTTTAAAATTCGATCGAATAATACTCAGTTATTATTTAACAGGGTTGTTATGTTTAAAACAACACAATGTTTTAAACAACTATTATCTTAAACATGTTTATAACATAAATTTGTTCATTATTTAAAACGAATAAAACATAATATGTTTAAAACAGTGTAAGATCCAAGTGAATATTGTTTTTTTTTTTGCTTATTATTAATAATAAATAATAATAGATAGGTATCCTCTAAGAAAAAAATTTATGTATTAAATATAACTATATCTATATGACCATCCTTCGTTTAAAATTTTTTTTTTTAATTTTATTAAATAAAGCATCAAATTTAAAATGTTTTTACTTAATAGTTAATATATATAATATAATATAATATAATGTCCATATAGAACATCTATTTGGAAAATATTTAAATTACATTTCAAATACTTTTAAGATTTAAAATAAGTAATAAATAAACAATGAACATATACACTGCATATTGGCATATAAGTAAATTACGTATTAAATTAAAATTAAGTTATTTTAGATATACTGTTTAAAACTCAAACAATTTATTTTGTTTAAAACAATAAATACAGTTTTTTTTTTCTCAAAAATAAAAAATTACACCGACTTTGGTTATTAAAATGTTTATTCCGAGGATAATAGTCCTTAAAAGTGATTTAACAAAAATATATGACTAATATAATATTGTATCTAGTATTTATTATATTCGGACCGTTTTTATAAATTATTAATATTTATCGGGAAAACGATTAGATCACTTTAGCCCATATTATCTTCTAAATCCGTTATCGTGGACCTTTATCGTCTTAAAGTAGTAAGTACACGAAGTCAAATAACTCGAATACTACTAGTTCAAATTCTGAATACGTCAAAATGTTCAGGAAAAGTATCTGGAAAATATCTTGCACACTCGGAAACGGAGTTCTTTTTTAAAAACAGAAGTTTGTGTCGCCTCTGCAGGACACTCCTTGAGTAGTATACAAACTGCAAATTCAATAATTCTAAAAATTGGTTTTGAAATTATTTAAATATTTGTGAAATCTGTATAAAGGAAAAAAATAGGTATGCTTGGTGAATCGCCCTGTACAATGGTACAAACTTTAGGGCTTCTGTGGAACGGGTTAAACATAATGGACGAGTCTGAAATTCCTTAGGTATGCTCTTTTTTAGTAATTGCACTACCGGTTTATGGGGGGGGGGGATAATTTGAAAAATACTAACTTCGAAAAATAAGAACCGCCCTTCTAATGTCCACAGACCGTACAACCGATTATTCTTATTGGTCTACTTTTTTTTACGACCATGTCGTAAAACGATGATGGTACGCTCAGCAAATCATTGTAACAATTATTTCAAATTAATGTTAGTAATAATATGCTGTTTTCCCGGAAACTCTTTCGCCGTATGGAAAAGCTCTGTCCTCGTGTAAGACGACTTTAATTTATTTTTCTACATTTTAATCACCCCTCGTCGTCTGCGCTCGTGTATACGCTATGGGCGGTTTCTACGAACTGCTATACACATTATAACAAACAACTACCCCAACTGCTTTTGTATTATGTCGTGTAATATGTTCACGAGGCCGTAGGGGTAAGGAAAAATGTACCGTCGTGTCGTTTACAGTTGACATCAGAACGCGAGCTTTTCGTTTCACTTCAATCGACTTTGCGATCTCATATACGCGTTTAATCTCAACTCAGTGGCGTGTGCCCCGTGGGGGGGGGGTTACGACCTCCACTCCCCGTCGTTCCATAAGCCCCCTCGTTTGTGTCTTCTATAGCACCACGGTTCATTTAAATGTATTATTTATTTTGCAATTTCAACGCCTGACGGCTATTCTAGTAAAGATACTAGTACAAAGATAACATATATGCATAAAGACATTTTGGTACAATTATAACAATACTCGACTTACATAATATTATGAGTAGTAGAGCAAAAATAAGTGACGTAAAGCATTGCGTTCCTAAACCAAGATTCTCCCTTTAGATCGGTTACTAAGTCCAGAAGTCTAATAGACTGGTGTCTACATTTATCAGACGCGTTGCTCTTTGAATCGGATCACATTAAGTATAAATAGTTAGTTTTCCTAGTGTTGATTTCGAATATTGGATTATTTCGAGATTCAAGCCTTGGTACGTGAAATGAGACTTGGTAATAGATTAAGTCTAAACAAGGCTTATATTGTATACCCTTAAGCCTAATATTGAGTTCTATCATATTACACTATATATAGGTATTACATTTTAGATTCTGAGCGGAGCGAAAAAGCTAGTGGTGGTATTACGATGGTGTTTATTTTTTATTATTTTTTTTTTTTATCCTGTATACAAAATTTCTACCAGGAAGAGTGCTTTGATTTCAACATATATTACCTACCTTTTAGAAAAAATTGGATCAAGACGGTACTTTAAACAGGTCATTTTTCGATTTTCTCAATAGTTATTTAATGCCGCTAGAAATAAATAATAACAATATAAAATATCCAGACACTGACAAACCATCTCAGCTCAGAACCGTTCTTCTTATACAATGATATTATATCATTGAATTCGAGTTCAATACAATCCATTATGCCCACCTGTAACCTACTGTACAGCAGAGCGACATCCGCTTACCCGCTTTTTGCATATTATTTTGTTGCATATCTTTAGCACGTGTCTAGAGATATTTAAAGTGATATTTTTGCAACTTTTAGTGCTATAAAATCTCCCAACCCAGATTGTCACTTACCGCCTGCCCCCCCCCCCCCACAGTTGAAAATGCATGGTCTCATTTCATAATATATTCTATATTTTAATAAATAATTATTTTATTTACGTTTCTTATAATACGATATCGCGTGTGTCGGATTATATAGATGTTGAACTGTATACTGAGCATGGTGGAGAAGACGAAAAAAGCGCTGGGTATACTCCAGGAGCGCGGCATGACCGAGACGAGTTTTCCGGACTGGAACCGGAAGAAAACGACCGAAGAAATCCTGGCACAGACGGTACGGCACACGGAAGAAAAGATAGAAATCATCAAAAAGAAAGCTGGTAAGAAATATGCTTAAGCTCGAGAAAGGGGCGTTTTCGCCCCCCCCCCCTCCCCCGTGACGATTATGTCGTTATTGCTTTGCGTGAGTTCGATTAGTATAATATTATAATATCAATAAGTATTATTATTTAAGAAATATTGTATTATACTGTCGTTGAATTTATTATAATAATTGTCACGTTTTAATTTTCTGTTATTTATCGATTTGTGTACATATAATATTTTAAATAAATAAGAACCCTCAGTCGAATCACACTTAACACAATAACAATTATGGGGTCGCTTAAGCATTCGTCTTCTCGAGAACACGATGTGGATTATAAAATGTATTGAATAAATGTGTTATTTATATTTTTGTAGTATCCTACTTTTACTATCTGCATTTGTTGTTGTTTCATTATATTTTTAAGTAAACGTTACTTTTTGAAACATTTTTTTTTCTTCAAAAACCCTATTTAAATAAGCTATGTTACATAATAATAATAATATGCATATTTTAATACTTAAATTTGTCCAATAATAAAATAATAAACACACATCATCAAATCGGTAGCTTACAATTTTAAAATACTTATAATTAACTACCACAAAATGAATGTAAATATATAATCAACGTTTAAAATATTGTTTTTATATTTTATTATATCAAACATAAATATAACGATAAATTTCGAAAACGGGAACCCTAATGTCGTGGTTTTTATCTACAGGTTACGTTTGTAATCTTGATTTTTGGTTACTTGTGTTCTAGATTTTTTTTTTTTATTGGGGATAATGATAGAGATCGATAATGAGAAAAATAAAAGGTCATATAGAGAGCAAGTAAAAAAAGAGAGAGAGAGTGCACGAACCGAGAATCTCATAGAGTTGGTCGAATATTTAGATTTTCTTGTCTGTATACATAGGTACTATCTTCTCTTTCACCACAATTGGCGTAGATGTAATGCTTGAAGGCTGTATTATACTTGTACTCTAGATTTTTTGTTTTTGGTGATATAACGATACAGATAGAGAGTGAGAGGAAGAAAAGAGATAGAGACTAATGGGTGGGTGAAAAAATTGATATGTAGGAGTAAATTAAAAGAGAAAGAGAGAGTGAGAGAAATTGCGCAGGATGAGAGTCTCGGAAAAATACTTAAAGATAGACTAGAGGGAGTGTGTGTGTGTGTGTGCAGAGAGAGACAGAGAGAGAGTTTCGAAGAGTTGATTGAATATTTGATTTTCTCGTCTATATGAAGGTACCAAATTGTATAGGGAATATCCCCCTCACACGGACCTGTTCAGTGGGGTCCATTATTTTTTCGAAGAAATCAACAATAATAATAAAAATATGAATTTGATGGTGGCAAGTGTTGTTTCAAAACTTCACTACATGTGCACGAGGAAGAGCATCTTTGGCGTCGATGTGTTACTTGCTGGTTACTTGTATTCTCGATTTTTTTTTACTGGTGATAATGATAGAGATAGAAAATGAAGAAATAGAGTGAGAGGGAGATAGAGAGACCGATCTGAGAGTCTCGCTAAGTTTATCGAATATTTGATTTGCTCGTCTGTACAGATAAGTATAAGTACCGAATTGTGTAAGCAATATGGATTTGATGGCACAAGTGCTGTCCCACAACTGGTGCACGAGGGGAGGTTTTTCTTTCGCCACATTCGGTGTGTCGGCCAAGCAGTGACTTACGTCACGTACCTCGATTTGTTATTTGTTACTTTTTTATAAAACACTATTATATTATATTGACATTTGGACATGGCGCGTCTTATAAGTAAATATTTAAAAAAAAATGTATTATTTTACAAATTAAAGTATTATTATGAATAACGAAATAAAATCATTTTATATCGATTAATATATAGAAAACATCATGACTCAAAACCACTGTTTTTTTGCATAATGCATATATTATATATATATTATATTATAATTTTTTTTTATTATAAAAACCGATAATATTTCGTAACAATGAAAACCCATATCGTACCTTATAAGTTTATAATTGTATAAATATCAAATAAAAATAAAAATATATAATTCGTTCTTTTTGTCAAGCGTGAAAATATAAAACAACTACCGAGGTAATAATGTTTATTATATTATAAATGATCGATTTTGTAAATATAAAATCGCTTTTGGGACGTAGAATAATATATATTTATAATATAATCATACATAATGTTGTACCAAAATAATAATTATAAAAATAACAAAAATAAAGTGTTTTAATATATATATATATAGTTGACATGAAGTTATTAATATAGTAAAATGTTTACGTAAAATTGTGTATAAATTATTCATTTATTTTTATTTTTTTCAAATTTCTTCGAATACGAAAAACAGTTTAATACGCATCAATGCTCTTAACCTTTCTGGGTCATGGGCCCCTTTCAAGTATTAATAAGTGTTGTAGGACACTTTGTACGGTCACCTAGAAAGAATTAGAACCACGGATAGTTTGTACCAGGGCTTGAAACCGATATTTGATACCGATTTTGAATACCGGTTAAAACCGTTAAAAACCGAAATCGATACCGAAACCGAAAACAAAATCGAAAAAAACCAATACCTGTAATCAAAGCCGAAAACGAAATCGGAAAAATTCAAAACCAAAAACGAAATCAGAAAAAATAAACACCAATATCCCAAACCGAAATCAAAATCGGAAAAAATAAATACCGATATCCGAAACCGAAATCGGGAAATGTATTTTCGGTTTCAAGCCTGGGTCATTATAATAATATAATAATAATGCAGGACTAGAAACCGATATTGGGTACCGATTCTGAATACCGGTTTAAACCGTTAAAAACCGAAACCGAAAATAAAATTGAAAAAAAATCAGTACCGATAATCAAAATCAAAAAATATAAAAACCGGTATTCAAAACCGAAATCGAAATCGGGAAATATATTTTCGGTTTCAAGCCCGGGTCATTATAATAATATAATAATAATGCAGGACTTGAAACCGATTTTGGTTACCGACTTTGAATACCGGTTTAAACCGTTAAAAACCGAAATCGATACCGAAACCGAAAATAAAATCAAAAAAAAATCAGTACCGGTAATCGAAATCGAAAAATATAAAAACCAGTACTCAAAACTAAAAAACGAAATCAGGAAAAATAAATACCGATATCCAAAACCGAAATCAAAATCGGAAAGATAAATACCAATAACCGAAACCGAAATCGAAATATATTTACTTTTCCATCTCTGCAGGTTTGTACTGTTTAAGGTAGTTACAACCAGTGATGGGCAACGATATCGATATCGTGACAAATTATCGATATCGATATTGTTTTGTATTGTATGATATATCGTGATATCGAAAATAATATTTTTCAAGAAAAATACATGGTATTTACTAAATTTATTATTTAAGGTTTTAAGCCAGTGATGCCCAACCTTTTTTCCTCGGCGGGCCACTTTGGTAAACATTTGTAATCGAGCGGGCCACCAAATATAAAAGTACTCATATTCTCAATCTTATCGAGTTAAAAACAAATTCATTTTACTATGATGAATTTCAAACAATGAAAAAAAATGATATTTTAAAATTTTATTCAACGCTTTCACACGAAGATTTCCCTGCTTTGAGAGACATTATAATGAAAATGGCAACTGTTTTTGGCTCGACGTATATATGTAAACAAATATTTTCACGGATGAAACAAACAAAATCAGTTCATAGATCGCGACTTACGGATGAACACCTTCATTCAATTTTGAGGATTGGAACAACTAAATTCCAACCAGATTTTTCATTATTAGTCAAAGAAACACAAGTTCAAATTTCACATTAAAAACATTTTTATATACTTTTTATTTTTATTTTTTATTTATAAATTAATTAAAATCGTATTTTGTAATAATTTTACTTTTTTTGGAATATTTTGTTTTATTTTAACAATTTGTAACGGGCCACATGGAATACCTTGGCGGGCCACATGTGGCCCGCGGGCCGCGGGTTGGGCATGACTGTTTTAAGCTATAATAAATAATAGCTGTCAGCTGATAACGTTTGGTGCACGTGTTCCTGTGAAATGTCAATTATTGTACGCTATTAAATATTAATAAATTAAATAAAGCCAGAATAATTTGACTATACTATTTAGTATTTACTAATTTACTGTTTTATTTATTTAATTGTTTGTATGTAACTAGTGATTAACTAGGTAAAACAGATGTTTAATTAATAGTTTATTATAAATAACTAATAAGTAATAAGTATTTATGTCAAATGTGTACGACGTTGGTGTACCAATAATAAATAATAAATATTAATTAGCCTAATAAAGTAAATTCCTTAGTGTGATATAAATTTAGTTAAACGAATACGAAAAGTTGTTTTTTAATTGTTTAGGTAAACATCAAATTATATTTACGATACGATATCGATATCGTAGAAATAACGATATCGCGATACAATATCGGAAAAATCTGAACGATATCGATACACAAAATTATATCGCCCATCACTAGTAACAGCAGTCAATATGGTGGACAGTTTGTACTATTTGAGATAGAAAAAAAATTATACATTTCAAGACATAAATAATAATAATAATAATAATAATAATAAATTCGTTCTATGAACAGGTTTCGTGATTATAAACGTACGCACAACATACAATTATAAATTATTATAATAGAGAAACAATGAAATTGTATTAGAGAGTATCCAATACCCCCGAAACTACCTATATTATTAATTATTATATTATACAACTGAAAATAATATAAATTCGACTTACCGACTACCATAGTATTAATAATAATAATATAATTTATATGATACAAAAGACTAACGCTCAGAATCGTTGTTCGGGTACAATGATATTATTATAACTTTGAGTTCAGATTTAACACAATCCATTACCGCAGTGGTCAGTGGGCAGCAGAGCGTCACCCAATTTTTATTATTTAAACTCTATTTTACCGTTTTTACCGCTTCGTTGGTAAATTTACTGATATTTTTTATTCGTAAATCCGACCTAAATATCTTATATTATTCTATGTGCGATATACAGTGTGGCCTGCATTCTAGTCAAAATTTGAACACTCGATCAATAGTAAAAATATTATGCAGCTGTAATTCAGACTTTTTTTGAGAAAAACTTATCAGGAGGATACGCATTCGTTTCGATTCGAGCCTTGGTCCTTGGGTGTTAAAATTCAAAATTTTACCAATGTGTAATACCATAAGTATTTATTTACATATTTTTGTGATTTCGACCAATTATGTAAATATTTGAACTTTAAACTCTTATAATTAATTGTTATTTTAAAATATTGTAACCACATGTATTTTCGATATTTTATTTAATCGTTATTAGATCAACTAATAAGGAACTTTACGTTAAACGTTCAACTTTTTTTTTTACAAACTACAACGATTGTATCTTACACAAATCGAAATAAGAATCGAAAAAAAAAAGTAGAAAATTACAAACCACAAACAGAGCCAAAGTCGAAATGTACAATGTAGTGTCCATAGCTTGTCAAAAAAATGCTGTTTATATAAATTGAATATTTGGTGAGAAATTCAAGTATGTTTCAAGTACTGACTTTGAATTTCGTGCAAAAAAAGGAAATTGATTTTGTCAAAAACTGCAGTTTTTTTATATTTTTTTAACCATAATAAGATCAACTAATAAGGAACTTTTCATTACATGTTCAATTTTTTTTTTTACAAACTACAATTGAATTATACCCAAATCAAAATAAAAAACTAAAAAAAAAAGCATAAACAAATATTAAACTGTGGTTGTTGACTCTTTTTGGGTGCAACTCGCTGTGGACGCCATGACTTTCTAAGTGTAAATTATAATATTATATTTTGATGTATAGTCGTCCCGAACGGCGTTATCCGTGAGATTCGCTTGTGATCATGTAAACAGTATAATATTATCAGGTAGGCAATCTACCGGCGGTAGTTCGTGGACCCCACGTGGTGCGTACTTAAGTGTATAATTTAACTCTAAAATGTCAAAGTTATACAATCAATTAATAAAAAAAATCCAACCTAACCTAAACGTATTAAAATCGGATAAATAAAAAAAACCAAACATTCGAATGTACATAGACAGAGAAGAAAAATAAAACAAAGCGGGTAAGTGGATGTCACTCTGACGTACAGTATATTACAAGTGGGTCGATGTACAATGGATTGTATTAAACTTGAATTCAATGATATAATATCATTGTATAAGAAAAACGATTCTGACGGTTTGTCAGTCTGGATATTTTATATTGTTATTATTTATTATAGCCTTCAAGTTGAATTGATATTATAATAGGTATTATAATTTTTATTCGTTTCTATGGTGATAAACAAAGCGTTAGAAATTAAAATCCCGTTTTTAGCGATATTTCGTAATTTGTCGATGGTTTTTTTCGTGGCATTAAATAATTATTGAGAAAATCGAAAAATGATCTCTACCATCTTGGTCCAATTAGCTAAAAAATAAGATACCATATGTTGAAATCGAAGCACTCCTTCTAGTAGAAATTTTGTATACAGGATAAACAAATTAAAAATTTTATAATAATCACCATTATTGTAAACCACTAGCCACCTCGCTCCGCTCAGAATCTAAAAGTAAAAATAAGAAAAAAAACAATGTAAAACAATGAAACAAATGAAATTGGTCATGAGGTTAGGTTAGGTACCGAGGTTCGAACTCGAGACACTCTGTACTGAAATATCAGGGATGGAAAACGTTTTTGAAAACGTTATTAAACGGAAAAAAAGAAAAAACGAAAACAATTAATAGACCGAAAACCAAAAAAAAAACAAAAAAAATTAATCAAACAAAAACAAAAAACAACTGAAGAACGATAACAAATATCGCAAAATCCGAAAAAAATTTAATAACTAAATCAAAAACGAAAACGAAAATAAATTATAGTATACATTATTATATTTAAACCAATAAAAAAAAAAAAAAACATTTTTGAAAAAATTTCACTTAAGTCTACTTAAAAATCTTTACTAATAATGCACTTTTAAAATTTAAAAACATTTTAATTTGAAATCAGAAATTTTTAATTTTTATATAAATTATAATTTTGATTTAAAATTTAAATATTAAGAACAATTAATTTTAATTTTTAACTTTTAAGTACATTTCTATATTACGCGTTACTATAATAAAAAAATAAAAACAATATTCTCAAAAATATTGTTTGGAAACAATAAGGAAAAATAACGTTTTTAAAAATGTTAATCAAAAAGAATATAGAAAAATAACTTTTTCAAAAACGTTAATCAAAAACGACACTTTTTAAGTGAATAAACCAGAACGAAAATTAAAAAATTAAAAACGTTTTCCGTCACTGTAAAATACACAGGTTTAAAACCGATAGCAACCATTTATAAACAAAATTGTTCGTCGTATGTCTCAAAATCCCCTTTTCGGAACCTCCCCGGGTCAGGGAATCTCTTATTTACCTTTTTCGATACAAAATGTGGGTAAAATCTTCTCGTCATATGTCTAATCTATCTCTGTACTAATAATCTCATCGCAATCGAGGACGCGTACGGTACAGGGGCGTTCTCATAAAAGGCACAAATGTTCGTTTTCATATGATATACAGTAAAACTCGCTTAAGACGCTCTTTAAGGGACCAGCTCTCTAGAGCGTCTTATGCGGGAAAGCGTCTTAAGCGGGAGCGTCTTAAGCGAGTTTAAGACTCTCGCGAGTTTCGTATATTAATATAAATCAATAAATTGCTTGTGATTATTATTACCCATATACGTTAACACCATTAACTATTCAGGTTTCTTTGGTTTTGTTGATTTTTCGTAGAGGATTCGATGAACGAGATACGACATCAGGCCATGATGGAGCTGCAAAAACTCGTGTTGGCCGCCGAAAACAAAATGATCGAACTGGTGGCCGCGGAGAGGACGAAAATGAGCGGCAGGAGCTCGGCGGCCGCGGCCAGTCTGCAGATATCGCCGTCGCTGATTTCGCAGTACAACGTAAGTCGCGTGCGATTTGTCGCATTGAAATCGGTCTGTTCAGACGAGACGACAACAACAATATTATACTGTGTCGTGCGCTTGTAACAGTATTTTATTACAGTGAAGCCTCGGTATCTCGAAGTTTCTGTATGTCAAATTTTCTTTTTCAGTCCCGATCATTATCAGTATTGAACTTACGTACCTATCGTACTCAGTTATTTCGGCATGTCGAATATTTCTATAAATCGAAGTCATTATCCGGTACCTACCACCTATTATGATTCACTAACTCGAATATATGACAGATTAGATAACGTATAAAATGCCCAGACTATTAAATATAAGATTAAATGACAAAGCTTATACAGACAACGTTGTATGTAGTATTTGAAGTATGAGAAATATTTCATTTTGAAATATTTCACAAAAACCTGAAACATTGAAATTTTTTTTAACACAAATAAAAACACAATTTATTTATTATTTTAACACAATGTTCAGTGTTCTAAATTCTAATGTCAGAATTCAGTAAGTATACAATATACATGTATAATATTGTATAAATACTTGTATCATTTAAACATTAAAATATTTAAAAATTTTGAATACCAATTTAAATGTATAATACCAAAGGTTAGGTATACATACAGGTACCATATAGTGATGAAGGTAATTTATGACAATTATATGTAAATATAAAAATTATTTAAAAATAAAACAAAATATATTAAAATACTGAAATATTTCATTTTTTTAAATTTCATGAAATTTTCAAACACTAGTTGTATGTAATAACGTTGCTATTTATACAGTTCATATAGTGACCGATAACGGCGATAAAGTTACATGGACATTATTTTTTCTGACTTTATTTAGTCGTAATTCTGTCGTTTACACTTGTTCGTGATTTTAATTACGTTTTGTGTTATATTTTATTAAGACGTGTGTTTTTTTCTTTACAATGTCAAATAAACGTCAAATTGAGGTGCTTAAAATGTTGGTGACAAATTAAAAATTATAAAAGAAGTTGAAAAGGTGTGAAAAGAAAATTAGATATTGCTGCTAACACTTTGTCAACAATTTTGAAAAATAAAGATAAAATTGGAAAAAAATATTGAAGATTTTTCGTGTTCACCTCAAAGAAAGAAATTGAAAGTTTCAAATTTTCCTCAGATTGAAGATTGAACATTTTTATTTCAAATTTTATTTATGTTTTAAATTCCCTATCTAACTCGAAGTTTCGATATGTCAAATTTTTTTTTGGTCCCTTACGACTTCGAGATACCGAGGTTTCACTGTATATTGATTAGCTTCAGGGTAGTATTCCGAACGAATTCTATTCACTAACACTTTTTAAGTACTTTTCCCAAAAGTATTCCGAATTACTGCACAATATTTAGAGTACTTTTCAAAGGCATTTCGTCGCTATAAAAAATTACTTTTTATTTGCAATAATATTGTTGTTTACCTCGTATTTCTGGAAGTTTTTAAAATATTATACGTCTTATTTGTAGTATATCAATTCAAGTGGTGAACGACTATAAATTATATTGTATTATTTAGAATCATCAAACTATATAATAATATTATGTTGGCGCTAAATTCAAATTTTCCCAAAGACAGGCAGGTACCAGTGGTTTAATGTTTAAAAACTGAAAAGTATACGAAATACTTTGTTTGTAATAGGTACTATTTTTACGAACTATTCCAAATACTTTTTTTCATAAGTATTCGAATATTTATTCCAAATGCTTTATTAAAAATGTTTTACCCGAGTCTGCAACTGCAGAGTACTGATTTTTTTGTATAAATATTAATAGTTAATATAAATAATTAGAAACATCGCAAGTTTCTCGTCCAAATAATACATTAAATCACAAAAATAAAAACTTCATACAACGTAAAAAAATTCAAACACATTTTAACACACACATTGAATATTTACTTTATGAAAAAGATAACTGTTTAACAAACTCGAACCCATCAAAATGCCCATAAATATGTTTTTGAATGTAGATATTCTTCATATTTTCTTATTTTTCTCAAATTATTTATGTAATAATAATATGGTGGAATATAACTGATATCGAGGGTTCTCAAAAAATATCTTGAATAATTTATAAATTTTTTTTGGCGAAAACGGTTATGGTGATAACGAGTGAGGGTAATTTTGGTGGAAAACGGACTGCAGTCCCCTGCAAGGCCCCCAACTACAATGCACGACTGCTAGTGGGCAGCCAAAAAGTAATTTTCCAGGACTGGACCGAAATCACAATCCGTTCAAGCCGTATCGATTAGGTAGGCATAAAATTATTCTCGTCGAAATTTGGACAAGTACTTTATTAGTTATAATTAGTTCCCGGATTTCAACGAAAAGTGCATAATATTTTTTTGGTTGACCATACACAATGCTTTCTAAGTAAATAATTCGTTTCATGTAACGCGAGGGTTTCAAAGCTACAAATTTAATTTTGCATTTTTTTGCATCTTTCAGCGTCTTATCATTTTTAGAGCATTTTTAGCATTATCGAGTCATTTTGTTGGTTTTTAATGCAAATTTGTTCAATACAGATATTAAACTTAGCCTATTCAAAATATTATCTAAAGATAAATTATTTTCTTGATATTTAAAAAGGTTTACCGGGCTTTTCCATACACTTTGTCAATTTTTTATTCGATTTAGTTTTAATCTTATCTTAATTTACTATTTAGTAGGTAATGACTATTGACTGTGGAGCGTCACCCGTATTTGGTCAAATAGCAAATAATCAGTCGGTTCGTGGTACATCGCAGTCTTAGCTCGTATTACGCGTGTTTATGATTTTAATGTGTTAAATAATGCCCAAAATTAAATCATCTACTTCTTCTCGCTTGCGTGACTATTTCGGAAGAGACGTCTTTACAACAGATGGGACTATTTTACTTTGTAAAATTTGTAATATTCAAGTCGCGGCTGAAAAAAAATGTTCGATTCGGCAACATATATCAAGAGAAAAACATTTTTTCAAAAATATATGTCATTTTTAAGGTCTTTTTGTGGTAAAATGCATTTTTGGCTATTTTTTAGAGCATACTTGTATGGTTTTAAGTGCATTTAAGTCCGGGCTCTAGTCATAAGTACAGTAGACACCGCTTATAAGACTCACTTTGGGACCAGCACAAAGTGAGTCTTATAACCGAATAAATCTTATAGGCGAAGTGGAAAAAAAAAATTAATTACGTATTTATAAATTTTATTTTACTACATATTTTGCTTTGATTTTAATACTTTAACACATTTTACATATTACATACTTCATTATTGAATAAATTTAATAATCCTGATAAAAAAAAAAACTAAAATTATAATAGGTAAATATAACATATAAAAATATTATAAAAATTAAACATTAATAAAAAATTATAAAGGATGTATGTACATATTTTAATGTATTTATTATTTATTTTTCTTATTTTCTTATTTATTTTTATTATACGTTATAAGGTACCACCAGAAACTAGAAATAATCAACACGAATATTATTTAATTTTTCAATACCAATTTATTTCTAAATTATAACCATAAAGTTTATTTTCTACTATTTATTTTAAGAAAATTTGAGTCTTATAACCGAAGTGTTGAGTCTTATAACCGATTTTTTTTTAATGTATTTGGATACGTCCGGTCCGTTCCAGACGATTTTGAGTCTAATAAGCGACTGAACCTTATATCCGTGAGTCTTATAAGCGGTGTCTACTGTATATTTAAATTACCTACAGTGATGAGGGGGGCCAACATTTTGGGGGGTACCTACCCCGTTAACCACTCCATTCGTCCATGCACCGAAGTATAATTCCAGTAAAATATTCTGCTTTAGAATAATGAACTAAAAATTAACGTTGTCTTTGAAAAAATTGAAAAAAAAGCTTTTTGATAAAATATAACGATAAAAAAATGGTAAACAATATAATTTCAAAAACGTTCAAAGTTTTTTTTTTTATTTCTTAATCGTGAGCTTCTTGAGTGAATCGTTCAGACTTTTCGATCTTGTTTTGGGTATAATGTGATGCTCGTCGAACCGCGTTATCTTGGTATATAGGACATGTGTACACCCGCTGCGCACAAACACAAATATTTGTTCGGAGTGATGTTAAGTACGATTGTAACAAATGAAAACCGTCTTATAAAAAAAAACCGAGCAATTTACCTCTCCCAACACCAGTTGTGTATACAGATAATAATAATAACAATAACAATAACAACAAAAGTGTTACACAAAGGTGCCTCCTACGTGTTCGATACGTTTAAATGTCACGCGTCGCACCTGTTTGACAATTGTTTAAAAAAAAAAACGAACAATACGAAACTTGTGCGGTGTATAACCAGGCGCGGATACAAGGGGGGGGCCATGGGAGCAATGGCCCCCCCCAAATCTAAAAAAAAAAAGATGAGGCCGGTGAAAAAAATAATAACATTGATAATAGAATAGATCGAATTATTCTTATTAAATATTTCTATATTAGATTATAATGTTTCGTAAAATTGATATTGGTTTTCGGACAATTCTATTTATAGAATTTTTCTGTAATTTCTAATTGCGTCGGCGACCGGCGTGGCGTAGGCTAACGATGCCGTGACCGTTCACGTTATCGTCAGAATCGCAGATATTACTTTTACCATTAATTCTATTGCTACAATATTGAATATTATATAACATTATCATTTTTCTACGGGATGCGGACAGCGTTCAACGCACTGCGAGAAAACGAGCGTATTTAAAAATGGTAAGTAATCTGTATTTTGAATTTTAATACACTGCCACTGATTTGATTATTTGAATTAAAAACCATATTTTGTACATTATATTTTGTACAATACTCAAAATGTCGTTTAAATAACATGAAATAAAAAAAATAATATGTAATATTTCGTCCTTTTTAATATTTTAATAAATTTACTACATATTTTATTTATACGACCGACATTTTTTACTTCATATTGTCATCATAAGATGATTTTAAAACTATTACATTTTCTT